ACTGGAAGTGCGTAGCCTGCGGTACGGTGGATTTGATGGTGAAGGGTTCCAAGTGCGCAGCAATGGTGGACACCGGGGCAGAGATGAACATTATTCGGGAGGCGGACGCGATCAAATTCGGGCTGGATATAGACCGTTCTGACTGCAGTATTCTGCATGGAGCCAGTTGTAAGGCCATGTTTTGGGGGACAGCCTCGAATGTGCTGGTCGAGGTTGGAAAGGTGAAGGCCAGGGCATGCTTCTTCATAATGCCAGACGTGGACCATGAAATCCTCTTGGGGAGGTCATTCCTAAGCAGGACAGAGACCGTGATGTTCAACAAACATGATGGGACGTTGATCCTCCTCTTATGCGATCCTGCCGGCAGGAATTATGAAATAATTACCTGCAGGAACACTGAGCCAAGGAGTATAAGGAACCGGCCCAATCTAGGATCATTCACAATCGAGGAGTCGAAAGGGGAGCGCAGGAGGCTCTGGGCAGAGCCCGAAGCAGGAGAGAGGGTGGAAGTATTTTCCCTCAGCCTGTCAGATGTTGGGAAGGCCATGGACCTGGTGGCCGCGCATGAGATGGCAGATCCGGATGCCATTCAGGCCTTGAGGGAACAAGTTCTGGAATGCCCTGAGGCAGGAAGGTTGGAATTGGTATATCGGCTCCCAGGCAGTGGAGGGAACCCCGCATCAGCGCAAACACAATCCGTGAGTCGGCCTTTTTTAGGGGACGGCTCAARCAAGGTTTCCAAAGGCGGTACAAGACGGTAGACAAGAAGTGCCGCTCGGTACCCGTCCTCGTTACAGAGRACGAGGAAGCCTATTACGAGAGGGAATGAGGGTTGATTCGACGAATGAGGGAAAGTGCTTTAGCAGGGCCATGTCGTATCAACGAAGGGAACGAGAAGGAGTTGATCATAGGGGAGTCTGATTTYCTGCTGCCTYAGGAGYGAACGTTGATGGTGGAATTAATGAAGAGGAAGCATCGCGCCTACGCATTTAGTGACGAGGAGCGTGGCAGGCTGGATGTGGAYAAGATACTTATGATCCGCATCCACACCGTGCCACACGAGCCTTGGAACATGAGAGGGGCGCGATATCCCAATCCTGACGAGGAAAGGAAGGTGGTGGATTATCTCGACGGCAAGATACGTACCCACGTCGCCGACTATTCAAGTGGACCGTATGCGTCCTCGTGGTTCTGCTTTATTAAGCCTAACGGGACGYTGYGGTGGGTGCAGGATTTGTAAAGATTGAATGCAGTGACCGTRCGAGAYGCTGGAGGACTGCCGAATGCAGACGSGCTGTCGGAATCCTGTGCTGGAAGGCCTATAATTTTGCTTATAGACCTTTACTCAGGATACGATCAGTTCCCAGTCTAYCCGCCGGATAGGCCGGTGACRGCYATGCACACGCCTCGAGGATTAGTCCACATGAACGTGGCCCCACAAGGGTGGACCAACGCAGTAGCAATGGTCCAACGGGCCATGATTCGGGCCATGCAGTCAGTCAACCCTCTTATCACACAGCCATACATTGACGATTTGGCAGTGAAGGGGCCGGCGATGAAAGAGAGCGACGAAGTCTCACCAGGGGTAAGGCGCTTTGTCTGGAAACACATCCAGGACCTCGAAAAGGTCCTGAGCCTCCTCGAAGAGCATAACCTCACGGCAAGCGGGGCCAAATCCAGACAATGCATGAGGGAAGCGACTATCTTATGGATCATCTGCAATGAGAAGGGCCGAAGGCCGGGTGTGAAGAAGATGGACAAAATTATTGAGTGGCCAATTCCGTTCCACTCAATAACTGATGTCAGGAGCTTCCTTGATACGTGTGGATTTTGGAGGACCTTCGTCAAGAACTTTGACGCTAATACTGAACACCTGAGGAAGTTTAGTCCGTCAGGATCAGGAATGGGTATGGGGTGAGGAACACGAAGAGGTGGTGGCAAAAATGAAGGAGGAATTTCGAGAAGGAGGGTTGGTGTTAGGAGCGCCAGATTATGATGCAACAGAGACGTGACCCTTCATTGTCGAAACGGATGCGGGACCGACTGCCTTAGGGGGAGTTCTAATTCAGGCAGACATGGAAGGAAAGGAAAGACCCTTGCGACTTGAGAGCCGGACTCTCTGTACGACGGAGAGGAACTACTCTCAGTTCAAGAGGGAAACCCTTGCTGTCCTCCACTGTCTGCGAATCTTTCGGAACTATGTCTTCTGCAGAAGGTTTATTTTGAGAGTGAATCCGACCGCCCTGGCTTACTCTCTAAGGAATTACGTTCCATCGGATCCGACGATTGCCAGATGGCTAACGTACATCTGGATGTTCAATTTCAAATTGGAACGGATTCCTGATAGTAAGAACTGGGCGGACGGGCTGAGTCGGATCAACTGGGATAAGCAGGAAGGGGAGGCGGTGGAGAATACGACCCCAGTTGATGGATTTCTGGATCAGGAAGAAGATGTTCGTCTTCATATCAACAAATGGTCGCCGCGAGTGCCCAGCTGTGTAGGCTATCCTATCTGGCAAGCGCCAAAGGGGTATGAAAGGAGGAATGAGCTAGTCCTTAAGCCCTTTGAGGAAGAAGATCCCCAGGGCGGTAAGGTTGTTCAGTGGATGATGGAGCTAGCGCTGGCCAGCTCGCATAGCCTGGTGGAGGACATGAGAACGATTGAGGAAGGACCTGGCCAGGTAGAACGGCATGAGGACCTGATGGGAGGAATGTATCTCATCGTCAACACGCTATTTTAGGAAGGCCTCGACCAGTCAGGCTCGTTGAACTCGACAGGAAATGTGGACGAAGTGCCCGAGAGCCAGGACGACGAGTTCGAGGAAGGAGAGATTAAGGAGGCTTTTCGTGCAGAGGAGTACAGCGGGACCTACCTAGAACTCGGGTTTCTTCTGTGATGTGAAATGCGGCTAAGGGATGCAAGCGATAGGGCTCAGAGGATGCTGCAGCGCTACTTAGTGCGAGACGGCCACCTTTTCGTGAGAAGAGAAGTGGGGAATCCTAGGAGGGTCGTCTGCGGTAGGAATCGTCAGATCGACGTCGTAGCAGCACTACACGATGGCATTGCAGGAGGGCATCGATGGGTACAAGCCACGTATGCCAAGATAAGTGAGCTGTATTACTGGGATGGAATGATGGACATGGTCGGAAAATTCTGTCGATCCTGCGTGCCCTGCCAGGAGAGATCTCGTTTAAGGCAGGGAGAGCCGCTGCATCCAAGGTTAGAGCGAGAGGTAGGGGCCGTAGTGCATCTTGATCTGCTTTTTATGCCGCTTGGGGATCAGGGCTATAACTATATCTTCGATGCGCGCGATAACTTGTCTGGGTTCGTAGACGGGCGTGCTATTCGCACCAAGATCGGGTTAGTCTTAGTGAGCTGCATCGAGGAATATTACCTGCGTTACCCTTTCGTCTGGGAATTCGTAATGGATAGGGGATCGGAGTTTACCTGCCAGGAGGTGCAAGAATTGTTATCAAGGTATGGTGTAGCAGCCAACTCCCGTAGAGAGAGGACATAGTACCATTACGAGTCTCCTGGCTAAGTAGACCGAAGGTAGGCCTAATCAATCACCAAGATATCTAAGGGCGGCGTTCTTTGTTGAGAACATTACAATAAAAAGATCCACCAAGCACGCACCGTCGACATTGTGGTATGGAAGGTACGCCACCTTCCCTATCGAGAGTTTTCTTAAGACATGGAGGCGCCAGGATTTGGAAGTTAACCTGTCATTTGAAGAATTGCTCGATATTCGAGCGCGGCAGATAGGAGCAATAGAAGAAAGGATCAAGGAGGCGTTTGACCAGATGACGAGAAGTCGTATGGACGATAAGGCTCGATGTGATCAATCTGCGCGGGTGAGGAAGGTACCCTTGGCAGTTGGAGATGTCGTGCTTCTCTACGATTCATCACTAGAGAAGCAATGGTCCAAGAAGCTCGATAAGAGGTGGTTAGGTCCCTACCGGATCGTACGGGTCGGAGACTTCGGAGCGTATCAGATAGAGGAGCTAAATGGGACTGAGTGGAAGGATTGGGTATCTAGAACGCGTCTGAAGAAATTTGTGGCGAGAGAAGAGGTAAGAGAGACGACCTGACTGCCTTTAGAATAGAAGTAGCAGGGCGTGTAGGCTAGGTAGGATGTATGCTGTGTGAGTGTGGTCTGGTCTAAGTTTGCTTGATTATCACCTGTTTTGCTTACCCCGATGTGTGCTTGTTGTCTCCTTCGCCTGTTGTGCAGGTCTAACTTTACGAAGACAGTCATGCCAAGAGGAGGGAGGGGGACACGGCTGCCTCGGAGGCCGTTGGGAGCATCAGGAGGATATGAGCGACATGGGCCTCGCCATCAAGAGAGTACTCCAGTATACGATGATAGGGACACCGAGCTATTCCTGGACAACTTTTGGGATCATGCGAGGCGTATGGGTTGGACCGTGGCCCAAGCAATCGAGGGACTGAGGGGAGTCGGCAGATTCGAGGAGCCTGTCGCGCGGATCCGTAGAGAGGCGACGACGAGATCAGAGGTGGAGTGGAGGATGCAGGAACTGCGACCCTCGCCTGTGGGACCAGATGGCAGGCCGATCCGTCTAGAGATCGAAAACGTGGCAGACTTCATCCCTGCTTTCGAGTGGTTCATGCAGGGGCAGGGTATACCGAGAGATGAGTGGGCGAGGACGCTACCACTCTGGACCAGGAAGGCGGAAAGGCCACTGGCTAGCCAAATCAGAGACATGGCCCGGGACTGGGAAAGCTGCAGGGCACATCTAAGAGAGGCCTTTCGACGGCCAAAGTCCCCCCACCCCAGAGCCGAGAGACGTCAGAGGAGTCAGCGGTCGAGGGACCCTGAGCCCAGGGAGGTGAGACCGTCTCGGGGAGGACGGAAGGCCCTAGCCAAGAGAGAGGAGGAGTCGGAGCGGGAGCCAGAGGTTGAAGAGCGAGGGGCATACCCTGAGTGTGGGTTGGGACCAGTGGAGTTCAATCGTTTTACTGAGGGTGGATTGAGGAGGTCGCCAGCACACCCACGGGAGGAGCCGCCAGTGTCTGAAGGGCCGTTGAGAGAGTTAGAGACGCATCTGGATATCTCTCATTGGAGAGCGTCGCCTCAGGATGAGAAGCATGAAGAGCAAGTAGAAGGGGTGCCACGAGAGGAGGTACCACAAGAGGAGGTGCCACGAGAGGAGGTGCCACGTGAGGAGGTACCACGAGAGGAGGTGCCACGAGAGGAGGCGCAGGGTACTTAGCAAGAGAGCAGGCTAGGCAACATGGGGAGACGTGCAGGGGAGGAAGTGGTAGAGGTTGGGGAGGACACACCCCCACAGGCGCCAGCAATGGGTTTGAGACTCGGGGATGCTCCAGGGAGCGCTCGTCAGGTAGAGGAGAGATTGCGGAGAGAGGAGGCTCCACTTCCTTCATCAGAGAGGGGTCCATCGCCAGAGGGGAGAGCCGGCAAGAGGAGAGAAAGGGCAGTTGTAAGGAGGGAAGCCTTGACCCTGATTGATAGGCACCTAGCAGCTTATGCCCTAGAGCATCCAGACCTGGAGGAGCCGGCACCTGCAGGGCTGCGCCGGGAGCCGTACCAACCCGAGAAGGAGATGGAAGCAGAAATCCCGAAGAGGGTCGACCTCCACACGAGGGAAAGGGCGCCAGCCGGAAAGACAGTTGAAGAAAAAAGAGCAAGAAGAACTAGATTGATAGATGAGATATGGCAGGAGAGGCAGAGGTTGGAGGCAGCGGGGGAGCTTCCGGAGCAGCAACAGGAGAGGCAGAGATTGGAAGCAGCAGGAGCACTCCCAGGTCAGCCACCCAGCGCGCCAGCTAGGGCCCCGGAGATTCCTGAGATGTGGAGAGACTTCTGGAAGCAGAGAGGAAAGGAACTTCCATCGCCAGTCAGAGTCGGGTTTGGGGTGGCCAGGAAGGCGWAAGAGAGGTTAGATCGTAAAATCAAGTTCCTGRCCAAKACCACTTTTGACCGGCACTTGTTATTGGAGGGCGATCTGACAGGGAAGAAGATGAAGGAAGCAAGCCATGGAGTACGCCTGGAGGCTATGGAAGTGGAAATTCAGGAACTCAGGGCCTTGGTGGTCAGCCAGGCAGCTATCATCGAGAGCCTGAGGCAGCAAACCCAGGGAAGGGTGGACAGGCCAGAGAGCAGCAGGCAGGGAGAGCAGAGGCAGTCAGGACAGGGATTGCCAGGACAGCCATCTGCAGCAGAGCCTCGCCAGGAGCCACCTATGGGGAGAGCTATCATGGAGCCAGAGGAGGCGAGAGCCCAGAGACAGGCAGAGAGAGAGGCGTTCGAGTTTAGAGCCCCTACTGAGCTCGCGACGCTGCCAGTGGCGGCGACAGGCCCAGTCGTACCTTTGGCAGTAGAGGAGGGGCTGCCACCATCTAGCAGTGAGCCGGCTCAAGGCTCGGCAGAGGGATCCATGGGCGTGCTCCTTGAGGCGGTGCATACTATGCAGGAGGAGGTGAGTTTGTTTTCACCTGAGCAGAGGATAGAGGAG